AAATTGTTGGAATTTACTGTCTTCATCAATCGTCATTTCGACCACTATCGGTCACTTATTTTGCAATTTTAATTGGTGCGTGAAGACCACATTCATCATCGATTATCATATTTAATGCATGTAGTCGTTATGTCATGTAGTATTGTATGTTTTATTAGACATGTTAGCGTATTTGTAAGATATATTTCCATTATAAGTTTTTATAAAGTATGTTACCGTGTTTCAAATTCTTAGTATGTATTTAATTTTTTATATGAATTCGACAAATATATATATATATTAAACTTTACATTTATGACTAACTAATATTACAAATATTAAATATTAAATTTAAATTATAACTAGTAGATAAAAATAAACAAAAAATATATAAAATAAAAATAAAAAACTAAAGCCGACAACTAAAACTTCAATACCATTTTTGGAAAAATGAATAGTTTTCCTCGTTATTTGAAGGTATACTATCCGTATACCCAAAAATGAGATAGAGTTAGAAGAGAATGGAAGAAATTAGGTAAAAATGAGATTTGGGGTAGGTTGGACATGCTCTAACCTTTTCAAAAAAAAAAAAAAAAACTTTATCTTTTAATGGTAAAAACTTTTCGAAAGATTTTGAAAAAATTACCATTAAAGATGATTTTACAAGTTACGATAAATGTTAAAACTCTTGTGTTTTATCCCAAATTTCACAATGTTGTTATATTAAAAAAAAAGGTTTTTTTAATTAATACAATAACAAATTTTTTGCATAAATATCTCAAAATCACTATTAATTTCGCAACTAGACCAATGTGAAAGGATTTATGTGCCACAACATCGCAAATGATATATTGTGGTTTGGAGTAGCCCTCGAGTATGAACTTACTGGATTGTTATGGGTATCAACACCGAAACAGATAACTATGGGGATGATGGTTTTGAGCATGAAAAGCGGTGATGGAAGAGAAGATATGCCTCCCCCAACACCTGTCCATAACAACACATATAACCGTATATTTGGCCTACATTTGTCACAGATGGGGTTTTTGAGAACCAAAAAATTCAGTTGGGAAGGGTTTTGGTGAAAAAATAAACATACAACTTAGCCATTCAAAAATAAAAAAAAACAATAACTTATCAGGTAAATCAATATAATGCATTTCCTATAAGTTGCACTATATTTTAAGATGAAGATTTGCACAAAAACTCGCATACCACACCCCTTCATAACATATACATATATTATCCGTGTTGAAACCTATTATATAGTTTTTACAGTATGGATACAAGCATATAAGTACTCAAATGTAGTTTGCTTGCATACTTTTTGTCAAGACACTATGATCATATGGTTTTTACATCTCTTTTGTTTTTGTCCTCTGAACTCTGAAGCCAATTGATTCCTAATATATAATTTCACTTAAAACACAATGCAAATAATTTCTTGAAATAGTTGAAATCTACTACCTGATATGCTTATTGTTTTCTTTCTTGACATGTTTAGTCATGTTCTTCGACAAATGTAAAATTAAAATTTATTTTTGTATAATTACAATAATCATTATAAAACATCAACTAAAATCGGACTTCCACTTTTATATTCAATTCAAGGTACAACACAACACTGGGCTCTTTATACACAGGGTTCCCGTAGGCAACAGAAATGATTAAAACAAATGAAAATCAACTAGTAAAAGTAAACTATATCTACATTGAATTTTGATAGTAAAATCAAAAGAATATAAAAAAAAAAAAAAAAACACATAAAATTATGTAATTCTTCAACCAAATTTTGTGATCATAACAATTTTTACCCCTTGGTATGATTGAGACGTGTCCTTATGATGATTCTTGACTTGGTTCTTCCTCTGTAAAAAGAATCAACCTTTTTTAATAAAATTAAAATCAAACTGTTCGTAATAAAAGATCCAAGATTTAACATAATTCAGGTTAGCAATAATGATGGTACCAAATAATGACTTGATTGTTGGTCTCTTTGGTTTATTTTTCTTCTTTTTCAATTCAGCTGCAGCCATGAACAAGTACAAGATCAGTCACCATCTGTTACAAATGACCTATTTGCCCATTGTCATATTGATTATAAGTGTGTGTGTGTGTGTGTGAGAGAGAGAGAGAGAGAGAAAGAGATACCCATTCCAGGGACTTGATAGTCATTTACAATCTCAAAATTCTTGTATGTGTACCCAACAAAGTTAATATCCTTGGATGAAAGCATCTGGAGATACATAAATGAAAGCATAATGATATTAAAAAAAAAAAAACAATTAAATGAAAGTAGGTTGCTATTTCTTGCATTTAAGTGGTAAGAACAGAAAATTTACCCTTCTCCATGGTCCAGATCTTGATGAACTCTTAATTTGGTGTTCAGACTGAAATATTAAAAAAAAAAAAGTTAAATATAAAGTGGGATACAGAAAAAGAATAAATATAAATGAAGTTATAAATACCTCTTCAAACTTTTCGAAATTTTGAGTATCCAATTCATCTTTAACTTCAGGAATAAATGCAGCATCCATATGATATATTCTGTCCCAATCAATACCTTTAAACCACGGATGAACCTAAAACATTAAAAATAAAAGAAATCGAGTCATATTACTTAATTTTTTTTCTTAAATAATTCGTGTAACTTAGAATATGACACACCATACAAAACCTTTATTTCATGTGCCCCTTTTGAACCCAGCCTGTGATTGACATTACATAGCAGTCTGCTGATAAGATCTTTTGCTTCAAAAGAAAGCTGCGCTTCTTGAGGGAACTTCAAATGTGATTTCCAATGTACAATCTACAAATATATAAACAATAAAAATGAAAAACAAAATATTTATAGATATATAAGTTAAATCTTTGATTAAAACAACAAATCAATCACCTTCCTACAAGTTGACATTGGATCATCTGAGTAGAAAGGTGGGTACCCCACCAGCATTTCATACATAATAGCACCAAGAGACCACCTGAAAAAGAATAACAATATTTTATATTTTATATGAAAATGTAATTTAAAAAAAAAAAACACTCATAGTGATAGACTACTACTAAGTACTAACCAATCACATTCCAATGAATACCCCTTCTTCAGTAGAACCTCAGGAGCAATATAATCAGGAGTCCCAACAGTCGAATAAGCCTGCAATTCCCCAACAATTTATAATTTTATATTTATTAATAATATAAGTGGTATGGTATTAAAATATATATATATATATATATATATATATATATATATATATATATGTGGCAAAACATGTAAAAATGCTTACAAGAGTCCTCCTATTTTTCTGCCAATGCTGCAGTTGTTCTTGTTGTGTGCGTTTAGGAGCAGCAGAATGGCCCTCACCTGTTGAATTGGAGACATGATCCCCTGTGGCAAAATCCGTCTCTTCCAGTGTACTACAATCTAACGGTTTACACAATCCAAAATCTGATAATCTCAAATGTCCATATCTATCAAGAAGCAGATTATCCGGCTTGATGTCTCTGTGTTGTTACAATCCCATATATAACAAAAAAAGGCAATAAAAATATTATTATTTGATAACAAAACAAAACAAGAATGAAGTTTATAAAACATATAACATATACCTATGTACATAATTATGCTTATGGATGGATTCGATTGCTAATACTGTTTCTGCAACATAAAATCTTGCTTCATCTTCGGTTAAGGTATCTTTTCTCATGAGCAATGTCATCATGTCACCACCAGGTAGATATTCCATTATCAGATACAGATACTCATTGTCTTGAAAAGAACAATATAGTTTCACTATGCAATTGCTGTCCACCTCAGCAAGGAGATTCCTTTCGGCTTTTACATGTTCAACCTGAAAATGGATTTAATGAATTTAAAGAAAGTGGAAAAGTATTAATGAAAAGAGGTATTATCTTTTATGTATGGAAAATTACATACTTGACCTCTTCGTAGCATTTCTGATTTCTTAAGCTTTTTCATGGCATATACAGTGGCTGTTGTCTTCTCCCTGCAGATTCTGACCTCACCAAATGCACCCTTTCCAATCATTGTGAGCAGCTCAAAATCATCAACTCCCATTTTGTGTCTTTGTAAACGCATGTATTCAGTTTCTTTCTTTTCTAGAAATCTAAGCAAGTTGTTTTGATCTTCTTCAGAAACATCTCCATCAGCCAATTTCTGCTCCAGTAAGATTCGCCTGTTCAATGAAAAATCAAGAGGAAGGGTTGCTTCTTTTTAGGAAGATTCTTCATTCATATGGTTTCATTAACAGTATTAAGCATGTACCTACCTTTCTCTCCTCTCCTGCAAATTCCTCATTTGTTCCTTGTAATGGTTTTCAATATACTGCTTAGCTGCAGCAACTTTCTGTTTTGTTATATTTGAGGCTTCTTCATCCATGGTTGGGTTGTTTGAATCTTCACCATCACTTATTGAATCCCTCCTTCTGGTATTTGATCTCAACCTTTCTCTAGGTTGAAATTTATGTAGCCAACTTCTTGCTGAATCCATCGAGTTCCCTCAGTCAGCCCAAGGGATTCATTGCCCTAGAAACCCGCCCAAATAGATATTTCAATTCCCACCCACCGGCTAACAGATTTCTGCAATCACTTTTACAGAGAATAAACTTAATCAATACGTGAAAAGAACACAGCAACAAAGAACTTACGTATACGCAAGATAACTCAAGATCAAAACATAACGCAATCCATGAATCTTTTGTTCCAAATGAAGGTCCATAATTGTTCCTTACACGAATTCGACAAAATATTTCGAGATCCAAGAACTTTTCAACAACGCACATATCAAGAATGTAGAATTACGAAATGAAAACCGAATTCTTCACAATATTAACGTTAATATTGAGATAAAACTCACCAATCAGAGCACTTCGCGGAAGAATATGACTCTCTGAAAAACTTCAACTTGCATTGAAGAAAGAAAATCAATCGTAAGAAGCAAAAGAAAAAAAAGACGAGGTTGAGGAAATTGAAAAAAAGGCGCTGAGATTGCGAAATTCCTGTTCCAGAGAGACAAAAACGCAAAATTATATCGATCGAACCAGAAAATCTTCAAATATACGATTACATATATATTAAATTGAAATCAGTGGATGTAATATGCGTAAACATACAGTGCTAATACGCCATTTTCGTCGTTGGTTTCTCTCTCTTTGAATTCATCTCCAATGATTCTCTCTGAAATCTGCACGACTGCACCTCTATATATACCTTCCTTTTTTTTTAATATTATTTTTAGCCCCCCGCTCTGCCAAATGCCACTTCACATTTTTTAATCATATATTTATTAAAATCAGATAAATATGTGGATTTCACCTAATTCATTCGTGGAATTTGTTATTTTAATTTTTATATTTTATTTGTAATCGGTTAAATTGGCATGGTGAAGAAGTTATTTTTTGTTGTATCCAGTTTTGAGCTCTAATACAAAATAAATGTTACACCGTATGAAAGAATCCCCAATAAGGATTTTTTTTTAAATAAATAAATATTATATCATCCCTAATAAAATTCCTATAGCATCCCTAATATGGGAATTGTATCATTTTTGTCCTATTTTTCTTGCAACCATATACATCACATCATATTTGTTATACATTTTCAATATTTTGCTACAGGCCGCAGCACTCATCTTTCATTATTCATATTTTTTTTGCCACCTAAGCCGCCATTTTATTTTTTCCTCAATCTTCAAGACCTAAAAAATTATCACACTTAATTTCCCAATATTTTTTTAAATATATTTTGTACCAATACTTTTTTTGTAGAGAATTTAAAAAACATAAATTTTAATATATATTTTTTAATTCTTTAGTATATATATATA